CAAGAAATATATGGCGGGCCAGGAAACAGGCTTTTCCAGGGGAGGGGACTCCGGGGTGGGTGAGCTACTTATAATCGGTGAAAAGCTGGAATGTGCGAAGTCACAACGGCCATAGAGTGCCATGCGGACGAGAGAGTGCAGAGAAAAAGAGAACATCGACGCGTTCAAAGGAATTGAGTTCAAGTTGTCCGTAGACCTCACTGTCTCAATCCCCATTGCGGACTCAGGTTGGCATTATTGGTGGAAAAAGCTGTCTTGGATGCGATTCAATAAAGGTCCTATCACACGCCCCATCGTTTCCATGGGTCATGACTATCCCACTTCCGCAGCCTAAAAATAGGTGCTTCTCGGGTGCTGCTCAAGGCTTCTTAGTGCGGTTATTCCGCTTCTAGCTGCTTCCGTTCCAAATAGTAGTAAAAAGAGAGCTGCTATCGTTGTGATACCGGCAAGTGGGAACTTGAATGAGCACACAGCTGGATAAGTTCGGATCGAGAGGGACATTACGGATGGCCTCTATGGTTTGTAATTGGCTATTGAATTTCTTACCACCTTGTCATTCGTATGGGCTGACTTGTTCTCGGCGAAGGCTTTGAAAACTGGCTCAATCAGTTCTTCAGATCCTGGCTAGGCAATTTTTGGTGAAAAGTCACGAACAAGTTTGTGAAGAGGTGAGAGCAGATTGTGGACAATGACGGAAAATGCTTACAATGTTCAATGAAAGATACTATGCTGCGACTGCTGTAAAATTTAAGGTCTGTTCATAGAGAAAACTCAGAATAACAGCGGCAACTCGTTTTCCAACGCATGAGATGACTTCGCGCAAGGAAATGTTCATCAGAGCACTATGAGGACTTCTCAAATAAAATTCATTGTGCTGAGTGGTGCAGCCAAGTGGAAAAAGTGGAAAACGTGTTGATTCTGTGGTTCTTTTTCATTTTCATACAAAACTAGAAAAGACTCACTAGCTCCGCTTCTTCTGAGCACGTAAAATGTCAAGGCATATACCACAACGATTGCGACATTCACGGCAATTCCAATTTGATTCAACAAGTCGAACGCTACCACTCCATAACTTTGAGGAATCGAGCATACAACGAGTCTAAATCAAATAAATCCCAGTATGCAAATTTCAGTTTATAACTACTACACCTTAATTGAGACGGAGGTGGTGTAGAGGCAAGCTCACGCTCACCGCAAGCGCGGTCTGGGGGTCGATCCCGAATCGACTCCCTCCCAGGCCAAGCCCGCTTGTTCGTCGAAGCTTGTAAATTTGGTAAACGACTCGCTGGGAGGGAATTGCACATCGACAGGCCCTCACAAGTCATTGTATAAGCCATATCGCACTCAATGCACTACAACGATTTTGGATGGAAGTAGAATGCGTGCCGCATCTTATAGCAGTTGGTTATAGCCGCAGACTTTTCCTTTGACCTTAAACAGTCGGATCACCCAGCTATCGACCGGGGCCAATCCTTCTTGGAACAAATAGCCATGGTCAGAGAAATAAATAAATATTTTGAACTGAGGGGCTCAATGCGCAAATTTTCGAGGGAAGTAAGTTCATCTATCCCCGTCCACGATGATCAGGTAAGCGCTTCTGTCGGGCACATATCCCTTAAATGTGAGCCCAATGGCATTACTCTTTGGAAGAGACTGACTCCGGTGGGCAAGTAAAAGCTCAAAGATTAGTCCAGCATGTGATCGACCGTGTGAACAAAACGATGTTGCGTCAGCTGTACAACAATTAAACCACGGTCTGCTCATTATCAGCATTTCCTGGAAACTATGAAAGAACTCTGTGAGCTGAGGAACAGACTTACGAGTGATCTTTATGCAAGAACCCTTGTACGAGCAGAAATAACCCATACACTGTAGGCCCTAGTAAAGAACACACCACATATCGATATGGTATCGTTTGCAGGAAGCGATATCTGGAAAGATTATTTCAAATGACACTCTGCTTTTTGAGCATAAAACCCTCAAACAGTCAATTTTCACTCGTTTGTTTCTCGAAACTCACCTCTTTCCCCATACTCGAGCAATAATACAGGTGTAAAGTTGCAAAGTTGGGGCAAGTTTCAGCTCTCGTGTGAGCCAAGATCAACTACCGCACTAGGCAGCGTTCAGACTCGACGCGCTGTAGAGCGCAGCAACGCGCGTTGAAGCGCAGCAACTACAACAGTGCTCCAAGGCTATAAGCGCGAATGCAGCCGCAGACGGCCGGCGCCGATCAATTTCCGTCCGCGGAGGCTAGATCAAAGGGCGCCAGCCGATTGCGTCTCAAATCTCGCCTCTTTCCTCATACTCTCTTAATACTCGGACCGGCGCCCATCTGTCGAGCCTTCACGGACGGAAATCGATCGGCGCCGGACGTCTGCGTCTGCGTTCGCGTTTATAGCTTTAGAGCACTGCTGTAATTGCTGTGCTTAACGCGCGTTGCTGCGCTATACAGCGCGTTGAGTCTGAACGCTGCCTTACTACGACCATTCCCCACACAGCACCACAGATGCCCTCCGAAGTCCGCCGTGGCGTAGAGTCTCAGAAAGGGAGCTTAACGACCGGGTTTCATATACAGAAGATTAGAAATGGAGGTCTCAAACTTCCCTGAAACCATAACACTTTCCCCCAAGATGAAAACGACCTAAAGAGGCCAAATAGGAGCTTGTATTTGGAATCGGACACACTTTCCGCATTTCAAATATACGACCCCTTCGTTGAGAAGTCAGCTGGATATGTGGTCCGTCTGGGATTCTGAGTGGAAATCAATGTTTGGAGCAACTCTTTTCAGGATGCGTTGCCCTTCTCCTTTTTTTTGCGAGAGCTTTCTACATTTTTCTTATGCTATACGAGCACCAACACTACGCCTGAGACTCCTGAATTATTGGAATTCGAGGGGAAAAATACACCTAATAGAAAGCTCACCTGGAAGGGAGTTTTACTGCAGCGAAGCGGTCTAAACCGAGACATAATATAAAAGGGCTTCCAACACAGGCTCCAAACATTGGGATCACCTGGAGCCAAAAACAATTCGATTGGTCCATAGTTTCTGAAAAGGAACTAGTTCCATGCCGTTAAAAACTCAGCACTTTGACCAAATCTCAAGATACTAATTTGTACTCTTGGGCCATTTTGGTACAGATCACTGATTGCCTCCAAGAGCACTACTAATATTTTCTTTCGGGTGCCATAAATGAATAATAAATGCAATACCCGAATGCCCACATAAGCGAGATCAGGATGTCGTAAGGATTTCTGTCGAACTAGAAACAAAGAGAAGCTAAATATTGTGGAAAGAAAGCACTCCCAAGCAGAGATGATCCGTTTCGCCTGTTAACGCAGACGAACCATCATTGTCTCGCCAACCCCCAGGCTCTTCAGTGCTAAGGAGAAGGATGTTTTGGCTAGGTTGAAACATTTCTTATGGAACTCAAGGGAACCCTTTTTCACAAAAGAATTGTCCCATTGGGTCCCTTCTATGAATCCTTCCCATAAATGCCTACCCACTGGCCCACATTCCACCTCTAAATGTTGTCCGAATGTCAAGAAAGAGAGGAAGAAAGAAAGAAAAACAGTAAAGCCTGTAACGTTCCGAACCGAATGATCCACGAAATGTCCCCGTGCAGTTGGGATCATAGTCGGCATTCGCAAAGAACGTACCACTTTCGTCACTACGAGCGGCGAAAGGAAGAGACTTGAAACGGATGATTATTCCAACGTTTGCAACCACGACTACTTTCACTCTGCAAGACAACGATTCACAAACGGTGCATGTGCACACAGCGTTGCCTGGAGCGTCGTAGTGTGATTTCCAGTGCTCTTGCCGGGAATTGGTAGCACGTCGAATTCTTCAGATAGGCTTCCACTGCCCGACAAACTGTCGAAGGCGCTGGCCTTGCTGGGGAGGTCTCTGCTCAGGGTATTTCCAAGGTTTCTTCGCTTTTTTCTCTACTAGGGAGTTACTTTTTAGTCTACCGGTACACGACTGAGCACCTACTACTCGTAGGAACTGTCTTTGGATGAGGTTTCCAGTGCAGGGTCAGGATTACTGTACTTACGGAGTACTGCACGACCGTGTTCAGCACCAATGAAATAAGCATACCTTGTCGGAGAAAGTGATACACAAAAGGATACTGTCCGACTTCATGGACCAGATCTGCCGCACACGTCAATGCAATCATTATATGGCATGGAGATTTCATTCGCCTGAAGTGCTAGATGAATTGTCTGCGGTGCTATAATTTCTAGGCTTGTTCGACTATCAATAAGCTCATGAACTGCCACAAACTCTCATGAACTTACTTTGCTTTGTACGTTGCTATGAATCATAATGGAATTTCCAATGATCCCTATAGTTGAAGCGGTAAAGAAGAAAAACGGCAGCGGGAGCATTACTGGATCGTAGCCCCCGACCATTTTAGGACGCTGCTGAAAAAGGTATGTCTATAAATTCTATGACACATATTGGAATTGCTTCACAATACTGATATTGATATGTAATTGCTACAATGTCCTGGAACACGGTCTTTGGACCACGCGACATCGCGTACACGGCAATCTGCAAACACCGCGAGCTTGCGATTAAGCGCACCCTCGCGATAAAACCATTGCCTCATTGAACTGGATTACCTTCAGTTTTCAGCCACGTTCTTCACTCTGGTGGGACCTAGGTCGGCATGACCGTTAGATTTTGTTCCAATCGCGTGAATAGATTCATTATATAGCAGTTGTAGTGCAGAGAAATCTGAAAAGTTTTACTCGCGATCGGCGGACCCCAAATTATTTGAAATTCGAAATCATTCAAAGAAATACAATCATTCAGAGAACAGCGAAGTGTCACTCTCGCAATAACAAAACCATATCGCCGATCGTTACTGGGGCGCCACTTGCAGTTGTCGATCGCGACTTCGCGTGGGCCTACCGTTGCATTCCCAGTGCATTGATGTTAGACTATAAGATCTGAGGCGGAGGAGATGTATAGGTTGGAAGGAAAGTCCTGTCAGTGTTTTTTGAAAAGCTTACAGTTTTTGATTCTCGATGCTCGTACATGACGTAACATGCTATGCTTGTAGGACACTCTGGGAGCTTTCCTGCAAGAGGCGTGTGAGGGCGCCTGCTCTTCCCTGGGTTTAATTACGATGTCAGTTTCACAGGAGTATCTTCGGGTCATCATCTTCTATCAGTGGCCCCGCGGCACTGGAGCCACGGCAGCTGTCCGTAACATCAACAGTGCATTGAGGGAGGACACCACTACCGTCAGGATCGTTCACTTTTAGTTCGCTCGCTTCGCGAAAAGAGACTCGATCCTTGAAGACAAACCTCGGTCGGGACGCCTCAACGAAGTGAAAGGCTTTCACCGTTCTCGAAGCTGTCAAGGAGGATCCGGAGGCTACCACCCGCAGTCTTGCGACAAGACTCGGATGTACCTAACTGACAGTCGTCAACCGCCTGTAAGCCCTTGACTACCGAAAAGTACTGGCTCGATGGATCACTCATACCTTGACCGATGGCACGCTGTGCACCCGGGTACCCCTTGGTCAGTCTCCCCTTCTCTGCCCTCGTCAGAAGGAGTTTCCAGGAGACTGCTTAGTGGGGATGAGAGATGGGTCCTCTATGATTTTAACCCACACATCCGCGTCCCTCTCAAAGAGAAGATCCATTCTAGCAGTCCAAACCGGGCATGTATTCCGAGAAGGTTCTCCTGCGCTCCTGGGACGCGAGGGAATGCTGCACAATGAGCTGCCCTGTAAGAACACACGATCACCGCCACCATTTGCGTCGCTCAGCTCCCGAAACGAATGAAAATTGTTGGAGAAAAATGACCGAGACTAGCTTCGGGTCACCTCGTTCGTAGTACACGAGACCCCATACCTGCTATGGAGACCTACCATTGAGGAGCAAGGTTGACCAGTTCCCGCCCATAATATTCTCCTGAAGTAGTCCCTACGACTGCTGCCTGCTCCGCCTCCTTAAGGCTTTCTTAGCTAAGAAAACTTTCAGCAACTTTGATGACATCAGTCGAGGGGGCGCTGACTTACTCTACTCGCAGCCTTCTCAGTTCTGGGAGGAGGGGAATGCTTACCTGTCCATTGGGTGGAGCACTGTAGTGGCTAACTATGACGAGTATATTGTTGACTAATTCCCACTGTATATTGAGTTAGAAAATAAAAAGGGAAAAAATCACAACAGTGACAAGACTTTCCTTCCAACTTATAGTAATATCGAGTGGCGCACTTACCACGCGCGCGACTGGGGGAGTCAAACCGTAACCGTACTGTACTGTACTCAGAGTGTAGACTAGCCTCTGCTCAAAGGCTCGGTTAACCTGAACGGGAACCTATATCGATTACCGTCTAGGCTAGCGAGCCTTCTAATAGACTCCGGTTGCTGTAAAATGGTTGGACGAAAATGGGATTGACAAAAACATTAAGTAAACACTAAATAGCTGGTCTCCGCAAGTCATTGTATGCACTATACAGCATTCAATGTGTCAATAAACAACAAGCTGAAGTTAAGTCAAATGCGCGACGCAAACCAAAAAGGATTGATTGGCGCGGCGAAAGCAGAGCAGATCATTGGTCGGGGATTTAAGTCGCGTCCGGACAACTCCCCTCTCTTTCAGGGGAAAGGTACGACCTCCCCCCTCCTCGCCCTTAGTCTCCTGCTCATTGAACTCTCCAGCAGGGCGGTACTGCGAGAAAAATTCGACCTCCCTCTCTACCATTTCTTAGATTTCTCCCAACTTCCTACCACTTTTATTCCAGGATTTCCCGAGAATTTCCCTACTTTTATCCGAACATTTTGTTGTCGAGGGAGAGGGAGTATAGTACGCATGAAACTCACGGAAAGCCAGCAATCTTTTTGAGGGTCAGAAGGGTAAAACGACCCTCTCCCCTCCCAACAACGAGCAAATACGACCATCCTCCCTCCCAACAACGAGCCAATACGACCCCACCCGTTTACAACGCCCCTGAAACAAGAGAAATCAGCTATCAAAACAAATTTTTCTCGGCGCAAATACGCCCCCCCCCCTCTTCCAGCGACCGAATACGGTACCCGGGGAATCCCCAACAACGATGTTCCCTGGGCGAGAGCCAATCTTTTTTTGTTTCTGTCGCGAGGTTTTCACGTGGACACTTGAATTGGCTACAGCTGTCTTTGAAGACGTCGTGTATCACCAATGGAATGCAGTGCAACGCTGCTTCCCAACTGTACATTACTACGGGAGGGGGGCATGTGGCAAGAGAATCGTAATTCGCCGCGCCAGTGGCGTCGCATGCGACGTCGCGCCCGCTAATAATGGAGGTTTCGGATGGTATGGGTCGAGAACAAACAAAGTACGACCAAAAATAGACATGAGTGTGTACCATTTATTTGTATGCAATCCGATTTATCCGATTATCCGATTATTTATCTGATTAAAATCCGATTTCCCAGTCGAAAGGGTAATGCAAACTAAGGGAACGTCGCACCGGCTGCCGCGCGCTGCGGAGCGGCAATTAACGATCCTTGCCCGTCTTCCCGGGAGCGGATTTGGAATGAGCTTTCTCAACTATACCCCCCCCCCCCCCTTTCAGGCAGCACCAAGCCGTCCTAAATTGTCGCTTCTAGAAAAATGCTTCACATATAAGTCGTAAATAAGTGTACAAAGAAATCTCACCTTCTAATGGAGGAGTGTGATCGGAAGTAACTACTCGGTCTGCTGTTCTCCCGTAACGGATCTGTGAGATCGTGGGAAAATGTCTCGTCGGTGATCACGTGAAAAGCTAAAATCCCACGAATTGGGGATTACGTCTGCAAATGTGAATTGTAGGTGGGAGTAGTGAAGCATAAGGAATATCGCTTTCTCAGTTTGCCTCTGGGGTTCATATACAGGGGGAGGGGCAAAAAAAGTCATTTCAGCCGAGTCACTTATCAGCGAAGTTTCGCAGTCCCACTTCCGACGTCCTTTCTTTGGAACCTTCTTTCGAAATCTGGGGAGACTTCACGCGTCGACGAGGCTCGGGTAAATAAACCAGAATTCTCTCCTTCAAAGTTTTTGAGGGATGCCCATATACCAATTTGTCGCTGTCTTGGAATTGGGATAGGCATTTATTTCTCCTTCTGGCAATCCCGAGATCGTTCTGAGCTGCAGGTTCATCAGAGGTGTAAATCACCTGAGCAAAATAGGGATGACCAGGTGGTGAGGCTGTTCCTCCAAGTGGTGCCACTGGGACCTGCTCGCTTTTGCGGGCTGAGCAGAACACGGACAAACCGAAGCAGGCGACAGGCCTTCGTGACGGGCCGGCTTACGAACACCCCATGTCACATCATCATGTTTAACTATGCCTTATGAAATTCGAGATAATGCTACGGCGTCCGCGGGAGCCGACGCGCACTCGCAAGGCCCGACGAGTGTGAAAAATATGCGAGGGTCCTCGTTGCAAGGACGGCATCGGGGGCAACCAGGCTAGTCCGAAAGACGTGCAATGTGTTCAGTGCTCGTATTGCCACGCTGAATGTGGGGACGCTGACTGGACGCTCGTACGAGTTAGCAGAAGCCCTAGAGCGTAGAAAGATCGACCTCTGTGCCGTGCAAGAGACGAGATGGGCTGGCTGCAAGTCGAAAGAGTTAGGCCGCGGCTTCAAAGCCGTTCTTTGTGGCGGGCCGAAAACTACAAGTGGTGTGGCCGTGATCGTGTCTCAGCGATTTCGCGATTCGATTATGAGCGTAGTTCGTTTCGACGACCGTTTAATGAAGATTGTTGTCGCTATTGAACAACGACTGTACCACTTCTTCTCTGCATATGCCCCACAAACTGGATGCTCTGAGCAGTCCAAGGACGAGTTCTGGGCTCTGCTGGACGAGAAGACGGCTGAAGTGCCACCAAAAGACGGTATCATTGTAGCCGGCGATTTAAACGGACACGTGGGCGCTGCAAAAGACGGCTATGCTTGTCATGGCGGATTCGGCTACGGTTCACGGAACGCCGATGGTGAGCGAGTCCTTGAGTATGCAGAGTCGCATAACCTCGTCATTCTGAACACAAGTTTCGTAAACGTGACTCCCATCTCATCACGTTCTACAGCGGGAGTAACAAGACTTTGTACTCATCAGGCATGGCGACCAAGGACTCGTGACAGACGCTAAGGTAGTACCGTATGAAACGGTTGCCACGCAGCACCGCCCACTGATCTGCACGCTCAGACTTGTAGCTCCCAGACCGAGGCAGGCAGAACGATGCGGTCCTGAAAGAATAAAGTGGTGGCGACTGAAAGAGCGGGAGGCAGCTGTGATTTCTCGTATTCGACTACCTGAAGTCACAACTGTTCAGGAGACCTGGAACGAAGCCGTTAATTCTATAATCCAGGCCGCCCGCTCCGAACTCGGCACAACGAAGCCTGGACGGCGGAGGATTGACAAAGAGGCATGGCTCTGGACGGACGACGTCAAAGCGAAGGTTCGAGAAAAGAAGAGGCTCTATCACGCGTTTCTCGAGCACAAGTCGGCTGACAACTGGCGGCAGTATCGGGAAGCGAGGAATGGGCAAAGACGGCCGTGGCTGCTGTGAAGGCCGCTCACTTCGATGATATCAGCAAGAAGCTGGAGACGCGCGACGGTGAGCGGTACCTGTACGGACTTGCCAAATCTCGTCATCGCCAAACCGAAGACATTGAGAAGTTTTTTGGCATAAGTGATGAGAATGGCCACCTTCTGATGGACCGAAAAAGGGTATTGCAACGATGGCGTGAATACTTCGAGGGCATCTCAACGGTGGAATTCGCCCATCCCGCTATACCCTGTACCGCACCAACATATGGTCCCGTTCAGAAGATCACCGTACAGGAAACAGAAGCTGCCTTGAGGAAGATGAAGGCTGAAGAAACCACCCTACTAAAATAACAAAACGTTCCGCGAAATATGCCGCGCGACCAACAAACTCTACAACAGAGTCCACCGGATAGTTTTATTCCGTTGGAGAACTGACTCCTTCAAAGCCACATTGCTCCGTATGTATGTGGTCGGGCCTAATATTGAGTCGTCTTCACTGTGAACCCCTCACTCACTGAAAATTTGAATAGAGGTGTCTCGCATGCATAATGGTAGGGGTGACCTTTCTTCAAGTGTGTTCGATGCTATCATGTTACAATTGTTGTTCCGACAGCTATCGAGCTTCCGTTACTATCACCTTTTGCTTTTCGCTCAGAGATGGAGCACTATTGCAGATCATTTTGCATTAGCCCTAGTCTCAACCTATAGATCCTGTTAAGTTAAAGGATAAAGGATAAAGTCTTCGCCGTTGATCAATCCCTTTGTGGGATGCGGCACGCATTCTACTTCCATTCAGAATCGTAGTGGCTTATTGAATGCGATGTGGCCTATACAATGACTTGCGGTGGCCAGCCGATGTACAAGTCAGTGTTTTATCCTCCCAGACGAATCTGGTACCAATTCACCGTCCCCGGAGGGTAGAAGGCTTGGTTGGCCTGGGCGGGAGTCGACCCGGGATTCGAACCCGGGACCGCGCGAATGGTGAGCGCCCCACTTGTCACTACACCATCTCCGCCTCCCTGTTAAGTTACAGAGATTAAAATAAAGTTCCATCTTGGTGAGATTTGTGGATCTTTGCAAGTGTAAATAAACCTTATGCTTTTGCATAGCTTGGCAGGATCTTATAGGACTTCACTGGAAGCATAAGGAGCTCCGGTCAATGGGAACCTTAAAGCCCCGACTAGGTGTAACCGTGCTGAATATATCAAACCAGTTCGGCTTGCGCACACTACTTTGCACCTGATGTTGCGAAGCAGTACGAGGCGAGTGACCTCAGCGAATCACGATTGATGCCAATATTTACTTGAAATCACGGAAAATTCAAAAGAAAGAATAAGAGAAACAGTGGGGGCCGTGGCGGCCGCCGCGTACGAGTTTTGTTGCGTGGCGTTCAAATTGTCGAAGGGTCGACGATCCCTTTAGCAATTTGAAAGAGGGGAGACGGTCGTTTCGTCGATTTGATTGCCGGTCACGCGTTCTGACAGGTGTGTGCCTACCAGATAACTTGTCCGATTCTTTGAACTATAAGGTTTTCGTAATTTGTAGCCTATCAAAAGCCGTCACTTTTGGTTATAGTGCTCATTATTCTAACAATAAGTTTTCTCTTAATGATCACTTAGGGATATACACTAGTTTGGAAGTTATGGCGAGTTGTTTCACCTGGAAGTCGGTTTGCCTGACATGTTCTGACGCGTAGACGACAAAAAAACCCAGCCAAACGACATACACCCTTGAAAGAGGCACAGCTTGCTGTGGCCGTTGCTCCAATGACAACTCGGGAGTACGGTAATGCAACTCCGGGATTGCCGCGTCGCGGCGTGTGCGGCGTCGCCTGACTTGCCGACGATAGAATCGCCCGGGTGCCGGGGTTCCCCAGAGCTTACTACTACGGCATATCTTCATACAGTACCCGCCGTAAGTGTTCAAAAAATTACGAAAAAAACGCCGATCCGCGTTTTTTCGTTTTTGTTATAGAGCTGTTCCTGTTGACTTTTTGTATGGATACCCATATATGGCTAGAATCAGCTCGCCGAGCTGTATCCGAGGGTATGCTCATATTCTACGACGTTGGGTTTTGGCCGGCGCCATTTGGCGCCATTTGGCGCCACTTTGCGACACCTTAGCGCCACAACTTTTCTCAACAACATCTGTATAAACTTGCTTACTGGGGCTATTCAGTGCCCTGTTCACGAAAGTGACATTCATTTCTAGCCGTGGCGCCATTTGGCGCCATTAGGTGCCGATTTGGCGCCACTAGCGCCACTTTGGCGACACGACCTTTCCCAAAAAAATCTGTATAAACTTGCATAATGGGGTTTCTCGGTGCCCTGATCACGAATGTAACATTCATTCCTAGCCATGGCGCCGTTCGGTGCCATTTGGTGCCAATTTGGCGCCACTACTTTTTTCACCAAAATCTTTATGAACTCGCAGCCTGGTTTCTGGAATGGTCACGTGATCGTCATTTGCAGAGCATACATAAATCACGTGAGCTTGCGGCGCTGGCGGCTCTGTGCTCACCATAGCCGCTTGTTCACGTGATTACTGTATGTCTTTATAGTTCACATTCACGTGACCATTATAACACATACAGTCTGAGCCGACCAAGGCATCGCGCCAAATTGGCACGCAGTAGCGCCAAATGGCGGAAATGAATGCTACGTGAACAGGGCAGCCCCAGTAAGCAAGTTTATACAGATTTTTTGGGAAAGGTCGTGTCGCCAAAGTGGCGCTAGTGGCGCCAAATTGGCACCTAATGGCACCGAACGGCGCCATGGCTAGGAATGAATGTTACATTCGTGATCAGGGCACCGAGAAACCCCATTATGCAAGTTTATACAGATTTTTGGGAAAGGTCGTGTCGCCAAAGTGGCGCTAGTGGCGCCAAATCGGCACCTAATGGCGCCAAATGGCGCCACGGCTAGAAATGAATGTCACTTTCGTGAACAGGGCACTGAATAGCCCCAGTAAGCAAGTTTATACAGATGTTGTTGAGAAAAGTTGTGGCGCTAAGGTGTCGCAAAGTGGCGCCAAATGGCGCCAAATGGCGCCGGCCAAAACCCAACGTCGTAGAATATGAGCATACCCTCGGATACAGCTCGGCGAGCTGATTCTAGCCATATATGGGTATCTATACAAAAAGTCAACAGGAACAGCTCTATAACGAAAAACGAAAAAACGCGGATCGGCGTTTTTTTCGTAATTTTTTGAACACTTACGGCGGGTACTGTACTGTACCCTTGACCTCGAGTAACCCTCCTACTAAGTTACTTCCCGGAAGGATCATCCTTGTCAGGGCACATCATTGGTTGGGGATTTTAGTCAAGTCCGTATGACCCCCCCTCCGGACCTCTGTTCCCTCATCATGGAATCGAGCCGTCGAGCGGGGGGGGGGGAGGGAGGGGCATATAGTACGCATCACCTGTATCACCTGTGCTCCCGTTGATCATCGAGTTCCTCGAGCGGGCGCCAGTAACGTCTCCATTCGTCCCTGCAACGTGCAAGAGTTGCCCAATGGAACTCTCTCTGCTCGAGGGACACGATGAACTTCATACCATTCGTTCAGAGCTTTCACGAAGAAGTCTGACCATCGCATAGGCGGTCGTCCAGGCGTTCGCTTGACATCCCGTGGAATCCAGTCGGTGATCGCTCTGGTCCAGCGGTCGTCCTCGAAACGCATGACGTGCCCGGCCCACCTGATCTTCGAAACCTTGGCAAATGCGGCGGCGTCTCTGATCTTCGATCGTCGGAGTGCGGAGCTCCGGATTCCCTCTCTCACTTGCGTGTAGCGGGAAACTCCGAGCATCGCCCTTTCGATGGCGCGTTGAATAACGCCAACCGCATGTTCATCCTGCTTTCGTAGAGTCCAAGTCTCTGAGGCGTACGTCAAGGCAGGAAGGACCGCGGAAATCGAAGAGGTGGGCACGGAGCTTGGTGTTCTTCGTCTTCTTCGCTACTCCCTCGATGTTCTTGAAGGCTCCCCAAGCCGCTCGCTTCCTCCTGCTCAGCTCTGGAGCTAGGTCATTCATCATATTGATTTCACGACCTAGGTACACATAGCTAGAGCATTCAGAGATGGTCGTTCCGTTGAGCGTGAATGGGGCATCAGATACCAATCCGTTTCTCATGAACATCGTCTTCGTTAGATTCAGCCGTAGACCGATTCTTCCACACGCGCAGTCGAATTCAGCCAGCATTCGTTCCGCTTGCTCGATGTTTGGCGTTATCAAAACGATGTCGTCAGCAAAGCGGAGATGGTGTAGTTGCCGACCGTCGATCTTCACTCCCATGTCTTCCCATTCCAGTTGACGCATGACGTTCTCGAGAGAGGCGCTGAAGAGCTTGGGCGAGATGGTGTCGCCCTGTCGGACCCCTCTCTTCACATCAATGATGATCTCCTTGTAGAATGGTGAATCTTGGTCGTGAAGTTGCTGTAGAGCTCACGAAGAATCCTGATGTACTGAGTAGGAATACCCTGGTTGCCCAGGGCTTCGATAACCGCTTCTGTCTCAACGGAGTCGAAGGCTTTCTTCAAGTCGATGAACGTGAGACATAGCGGCATCTTGTACTCTCGCGATACTTCAATGAGCTTCGTTACCGTGTGGATGTGATCGATCGTGCTGAATCCTCTTCGAAACCCTGCTTGCTCGCATGGCTGTCCTTCGTCTAGTGTTCTGCCAATCCTGTTAAGGATGACTCGTGTGAAGAGTTTGTAGACTACAGACAGCAGGCAGATTGGGCGATAATTGCCAATGTCGTACAGGTCTCCCTTCTTGTACAGCAACACAGTCTTGCTGGTTTTCCACGAGGTGGGTACCTTGCATTCCGACAGGTAGCGCGTGAAGAGTCGAGCCAGAGTTTTGACGAGAACTGGCGGAAGATTCTTCAGATGTTCGGGTCTGATCCTGTCGGGACCGGGTGCCGTACGCTCGTACCTTCACCGACGAGATGGCGTGTCGGACTTCGGAAGAGAGAACTGCAGGAACGACATATCCATCCTGCCAAGCGGTATGGTTGCAGGTGGACGTGGCTGTCAAAGAGATCCGAGTAGAAGTCGTGGATCATGCCAGAGATTGAGGGATCGTCAGAGGTCATAGAATGCTTCCTTATCATTATCAAGCATCACCTTCACTTGAGTGGAGAAGTTCAAAACTTAGTGGATGGGTTCCGCAGGCAAGATGGGGTCCCCCACGCGATACTCTTTTACAAAGTCCAAATTTTCACTGCTTGAACCAACTTCAAGCTATCATAAGAAGCATCTTTCGTTGTTCATATATACCACAAGGTTTGAGCTTCTTCTGTAGATTAAGAGCCGAGATACAATTTCAAAAAGTAGTTGTCGAAAGCTCACTTTTGGGTCGACACCGAATTTTCCCTTTAATGAAATAAAAATCGGCGGAAATCATGAAACAGTATGGAGCAGCCACACTATCTTATAGAGCAGGAAATTATCTGTCGAACGGTGTAGGACATACTGGAAACAACTGTCGTTGTTTATATAAAAATTTTGTGTGACAAAAAACGCCATTACTTATGGGCTCATCCAATACTTAGAAACTCAGTTACAAGGAGTGAAGTGAGATAACCTCTCATCTATTCTTATCAATTGATATAGTCGCTTGTCACATGTCACCAATGTTCATATCACTGAACCTTTACGATTTGGCAGTGTGAAACAAGTACAGCCTTGAAGAAGAATGGCGGTGACAGTGCCTTACAGCCTCTATCAGTTGTTATCCCTATCTGTCACCGATCAGTAATATCCCCGTCACATCCCCTATATCCCCAACTGGAACCAAGTGCCTACTGCTACTGTGGCAGGCGCTATGAATCAGGCGACGCTTGAGTTCTGATTCCCCTCATCGGGCTTATCACTGCTTAACACTTTCTACCACCCATTAGTGTTCCTGCCTCATACCCATATCACATCCTGCAAGCAACGACGCACCGTTGCTGGAACCGGCATGAATTTCGTGACACTACCCTTCCTGCGCTCCCTGTCAGCTCTCATCAGTTGCTATCACTTTCTGTCACCCACCAAATTGTGTTCCACTATATCACTTATCAGTTTGAACTCTCTCCTGCTATATCTAAGGGAGTTATGAATTTCCGGTCAAATCCACACATACATACACTCGAGATCCCTGAGATCGGGTAGGCGTGGCCGCATGTTTCAACTTACCCTTAAGGCGTCTACGCTTCTGATGCGATATTTTCATCTCGACACAATCGTTGTCGTGTCTCTGTCCAACACAGAACAAGATGACAGTTGTCCCAGACTGGAATATTCCACTAGTAACCAGTTCCTTACAGTGTTCGAATGCTCCGCCTACCCGATCTCAGGGATTTCGAGTATACATCAACAGACATACTAAGCTGATGATATGTATTAGGATATTCTAGACAAAAATAAATGGGAGAGAGGAGCAGGAAGCGGCGCTTCCAAGCAGTGTCACGTCTACTAAACAGGGAGATAGCGCTCGTTGAATTCGATTGGTGTAAGTGAGAAAGGTAGTTTCGAATTTCGAATAGACTGGCTTCAAATGGATGGATTTTCCTGATTTCCTTGTGGTACTCGATTCCCTTCATGAAAAACGCTGGTATGACCTACACACCATTCTGGACACTTTTTTCATAAGAGGACGCAGGCGAGCAGAAATGACGTGGTATATCTGCACCACCATGTGTCCGCATCTATCTTCACCCCAGCATTATTAATCGTTTTTTTATTGACACATCTTTAATATTAACAAAGCAATTCACAATTAGTATGAAGCAAGATGATCTTGCCAATGTTGAACGAACTGATGTGAGAATTCTTTTCAATTTCTCTATTGAGGTGTCTCAAAGTAATTAGGCATGCACCACAACGATGCCGTTGGTCGTGGTCTTGGATCTGCTGAAACCATGCATTGTGCTGACTTCTTGTGTCTTCTTCGCTTTGACAACGTTGCCGAACATCTGCTTGATGACGTCACGATATTCAGTACTGAAAAGTAGCAAATTGCTCTCATATTTATTTATATATTTATTTATTTATGCACGCTAGGTGCGCTTCTACAACACTTAAG